TCTTCTTCTTCTTCTTCTTCTTCTTCTTCTTCTTCTTCTTCTTCTTCTTCTTCTTCTTCTTCTTCTTCTTCTTCTTCTTTTTGTCAGGCTTTCTTTGTTTATCCCTGGCTGTCAGGCTGACCTCAAACTCAGAGAGAGCCGCCTGCCTCTGCCAGCCATTAAAGGCTTTCATTACCACTGCCAGACATTCCTTCATCTGTTATGAGTTATGTGTTTCTCTGTATGGGAGCACAGCCACAAGTCCAGGGCTAAGGAAGCAAACCCTTCTCAGGGTGGCAGGAGCAGAGAGTACTCTTGCCTGGGATTTGATGACCCCTGAGCTATTTTCAAGCGTGCCGGTCACTGATTGTAGTGTTTTGAGGGTCAATCTCTGGCCCTTGGACTCTTCTCTCCCTCTGGTTCTTGCTTTGAAGACCTGGCCTTATCTTGGCCTCTCAGTCTCCTAGTAGGCCTCTTATCCCATGTGTGCGCATGTAGGTCAGAGGTCAACTTCAGGTGTCACTCCTCAGGGGTTGCCCACCTTGTGTTCTCAGACAGGGTCTCTCAGAGTGAGTGGCCTGGGGGTCTCCAATCAGGCCAGTAGTTCAGTAAGCCCCAGGATCCCACTTCTGTGTCTCCTCAGTATGGGGATTACTAGCGTGCACCACCACAGCTGGTTTTGTTTTTATTTTCTTTCTTGGCTGCTGGGGAATCAATGCTTTTGCATCCATGAAAAGCACCTTGCCAACTGTGCTATCCAGAACCGCTCAGATTTCCTTAAAACTTATTATTGTTATTATTCTTATCACTATTATTTAATGTGTATGACCACTTTGTCTGCATATATGTTATATATGTGTACTATGTGTGTGCTTGATGGTTAGAGGGGCAAGGAGAGGGCATCAGGTGTCCTGGAACTGGAGTTACAGATGAATGCCACCATGTGGCTTCTGGGAACTGAACTCAGGTCCTCCTGAAGAGAAGCCAGTATCCTTAACCTGTGAGTCATCTTTCCAGGCCCCTAGTTCCTTCCTCGAAACAATGGAACCCAGGATGCCCCCCTTACTGTGGTGGAGACTGGAAGTTCTGTCAAGGCAAAGCTGGGCCATCACAAGGTACACTGCTCTTCACTGGCCCATACCAATGTCCACAAAAACAGTTAACATGTATGCGAACACTACACAGCCCTCTCTCAGCATCTTGCTCTATTTATTGCAATGTCTGTGGAATATATATCTGATCCTCCTGAGAAAGGCTTCCTGGCTCCATCCCTTAAATCTTCCTATATGTTCTCTCTCTGTATGTCTATTATAGATTTTTTTATTTGTTTCCCTAGAACCCAGAGTGTAACGGCCAGTTCTGTTGCTCTGGTCCGTGGGTCAGGGTCTAGCAAGAGAGAGAGTGGGGATGGAGACGTGAAGAATGGAGACAAGACAAGAAGTCTGATCTGGAGACGAGACAGAGTCTGTGTCTGCTCTGTTCTCTCCTCAAGTCTCTCCTTTTATATCTCTCCTCAAGTCTCGCCTTGAGTCTCTCAAGTGCTGGGATTAAAGGCGTGTTTAAACAGCTTCGTGTTTAAAATCTAACTGTACTCCACAGAATATTATTGGGTCAAAGTTCTGAAGTAAGTTTAATCTTTTTCTTGCTATTTTTTTTTTATTTTTGCTGTTGTTAAACAAACTACTATGTCCTATTTTCTAACAAAAGATATAAATAGTACTTCCACAGAGACAAGGAGATCCTGCTATCATATAGCCAGGTGTTTATGAAAATATATTAAAATCCCTCTGAGTCTTCAAAAATGTTATCATGAACATATAAAAGAGAGGATGGAAAGTGAATGTCAAATCTCATTTTTAGTTCATAAAAATAAGGAAATAAAATTCCCTTCCATGAAACACAGGAGTCGGCTGGAGTGAGAAAACGTAAGGACCTCTGGCCTCTGTTCTGAAAAGTATTTCAATGACTGGGATTCCTGTAGGAAAGTGAAACTTTCTTGCCATAAGGATGTCCTGAGACCCTGCTACATGGCCCATCCCTGGCATGCTGAGTGGACTTAGAATGCAGGGAAGAACACACTTGGAGAGCTCTCCGAGCAGCAAACAGGTGATTCACAGCCCGAGAAAGAGCAAAAGACAAATGCTTTATTATGAGATCTGTTCAAGTAAGATTTCAGTGTGCACCAGTGAGTGAACGCGGATCTGCATCAATGTTTGGAATGAACACCAGGTTAAAAAGGGGCTACATAGTTTTGTTTTGTTGCTTCCCCCCCAACACCGCCCTTCCCTAAGGCAAGAAAACACACCATTTGGAACAGAATGTTACAGAAGAAAGCTACATCACAGTACAAAAGATAAGAGCATCTTTGTCTGGAGGCCGCTGTGGACCAGTGCATCACCTACACTGACAGCTTTCCAGTGCGGCTTCCAATGACAAGCACTGGCTACAGCACTACTATTCTTCCAACTGACATTTTCTACTTCTCAGGAATGTGCAGATGGGGCCCATATGCTGATATTACAGTAATTACAACATTGAATAACATTGCACAGTCAACCTCCAAGGCTATTCAGTAGAAAATAATGAGCACTAAAAAGATGTGCCTTTACTAGTGGCTTTATGTCGCATATGTCACTAATTATGAAAGAAGGCAAATGACCAGTTAGTTATAAAGCTCCACATGACAGGAATAATGAAGTGAAAGAAATATGAGAAGTTGGGCAAGATATTGAAAACAAAGGAGTTGTGAGGGAGCAGAGTGAACCACCAGGCAAGCATATGTCCATAATGAACAGGTGTGGAGAGCACGCCCTGCTCACGGGCCTCTCCAGTACTGACAGATACTAGAGTGGTGGGGGAGGGTGGAGGCTGAGAGGACACTGGGGCAGATGCTCCCGATGCGGGTCAATTCCTGAGGCGGCATCAAATCTTAGCCAACGCAATCATCGACACTGTACAGATGAGTTTGTGCTATGACATGTCCCGACCTGCTCCTGCTTCCGCAGTTACCCTGCGTGCTCCGAAGGCAACAAACCCAAGTGTTGGTTTGTTTCACAACAGCCAGGTGAGCTACAGATTCTTTCAATCTCTGCTGCTAATTAGCAGATCCAAAAACAGAGGACCAAATAAGCTTGGTAAAGACTGAATTCTTCCCTGTGGTGCTTCTGAGTTAGCTCAAAGCAGAGCAGTGGCTTGTTTTTGCTTTGTACAGAAAGTCTGGGTACCACACTGTAGACATCCTGTAAGTCCTAACCACACCTTGTCTGACCCAGACAGAGACTGAGAAAGCAGGGGGAACTGGGGGACACCAACCCACTGTCAACTTCTGGTTTAAATTAAATATGATTTAAAAATAATTTTTATAAAGTTCATGCTACAATTTTAAAGACTATTTCTGTGGGCTTTTAATCCTGGACACAATTTTCAAAACAGCATGATGGAGGTAAGAACTTTAAAAACACACCAGAATGTAAATAACAGGGAAATCCTTTTCAACCCAAAGCATTAGACGTACAGTTCTGTGTGGTGATCTAGACAACCATACAGGTTTAAAGCAATCATATTTTATTATACAGCTATGAACAGAAAATGAACAGAAATACACAGTATACTTACCTGTACATGTGAACCTACTTTTGAAGCTACGATTCTTATTATAGCTCATACTGACTTGAATTTTACAGCTCATAACTATGTATAACCTTATTGCATTAAGGACAATGTCTACATGGGAGATTCACAGCTGGACCACATCAGGTATCAGCAGTACATTCAGACCTGTGCCTCAGATTCGGGTGTGTCTTCCCTGACCCTGGAGCACACATCATTACAGTGTGCCTCAGATGCGGGTGCGTCTTCCCTGACCTTGGAGCACACGCATCGTTACAGCTTGAGCTCATTTGCTATTTTGGATGCAATGTTCTTAAAGGCAATAGATGTCCCAGATATTCGCTTGAAGCGGACCCCATTGAGCGAGAGCCGAGGCAACTTGCAGACTTCCATCTCCCACTGTACGAGGCTGTCCTGCCTTGCGTCTCCGTGGACACAGAAGAGCAGGAACCTCTCTTTCTGTTCATAGTCACAGGTGTTGGCATCCAACACTTTGCGGATCTCTCTCACCATGTCATTGGGGTCCATTGAACTAGTGGTCTTCATGCTCCAAGTGAACCGCAGAGACCTCGGCTTGGCCTCCTTACCCTCTTCCTTGTCTCTCTCTTTTGGCTCTCCTGATGGACCCCTAGAAGGCAAAGGGAAAATGAAAACAAAGTTCTCCTCAGCAGAGAAACCTCAGCCATAGAACATGAGTGGCAATTCCAGTGTGCATGCAGCCAGCCCTCAGAGGGAGCAGAGATGCATGTTACTGCCATCCTGTAAACAGGCCTGGGGCACCATATACTTTGGCATTTAGCATCTTCAAAGCAAAACTTCAAAAGCGGCAAACTGTCTTAAGTGCATCTGTTCTGGGGAAGAAATTTGCAGCTGAAAGTGAAAATGTAATAGTTTTTCCTATATTTTTGGGGTCAGTTCTAAAAAAACAGATTTGCCATTTACCAGATAGACATGTCCCCCATATGTGCGTGTACAAACACACACACACACACACACACACACACACACACACACACACACAAAACCCACACACACTTTCAAATATACATCCATCCATACATACAAGCACACACACCTTTACAAAGATACACACAGACACATATCAGGTACCACTAGGATTCCTCTTATAAAACACAGTATTGAAGTATAAACATTTTTGTTTTTATCCTCTTTGTTAAGAGCAATGTTATAACTGCATGTAGGAAGCCACGGCTTGTGCTGGCAGAATCCGCCATTGCAAGATGGCGCTGGCATCCGGTGCTCCTCCTAGTAAACAAGTAAACCGCACATGTGCTATGGTAAAAGCGCGCCAAGTCACAGCCCATCCCAGGGCGTTTTGGCGGGCAACGAGTCAGCAGCCAATCAGAGGTGAACACACCGCTCTAAGGGTATATAAGCAGTGCCTTTTCCGGGCCTGGGGTCTTCCTCCATTTCAATTTGGAATAAACGTTTGCTGCGGAAGGATCCTAGTGTGGTGTCCGCGTGTGTCCTTGCTGGCGAGACGATTGCACGCGGGCCACAAGTGGTGCCGGAAACCCGGGAAAATTCACCATCGCCGGCACTGAGAAGACCCCCGTTTACGGGAAGGGTTCAGAACCGCAGGACAAAGGTAAAGCTCTGAGAGGCATGTTTGGACTTGATCTATTTCGTCTCCCTCCCCAGGCGGCATTCGTTCTCTTCCTTCTGGTTTTGTGGGATGAGAAATGCCACTCGACTGTAGCGGAGGGCCAGGGAGTGCTAGACGGATTACAGGCCAGCGGGTCAGAAACAGAGCAGCATAAGCGCTTAAGAGCTCAGAAAGAAAAAAGAAAAAAAGGCACGTCTAAGAAAAGAAACCCTTCCAAAGACACACAGTCCGAGGAAGCGAAAGATGAGGGAAAGGACGCCCTGGGAGAGGAACGTAGGAAAGGAGAAAAGGCCCCAGAAAAGAAACCTCTTTATCCGGTAAAGGAACTGGAGGCCTCGGGGCTTGGTGGCTCTGAGTCGGAGGAGCTAACTTCCTCTGAAGAGGAAAGAGCTGCTTCAGGTGGGAAGAGCAGGGTTAGGAAGAATTGGAAAACTAAACAAACAAACAAACAAAACAAAACAAAACAAAACAAAACAAAACAAAACAAAAACCAGGGTACTGAGGTGTTACAATAGCTGCCTGCTACATCTCCAATGAACGAGATGAAAAGTTACATCTTGAATATGAGAGAGAGAGAAAGGGCTTTAGAAAAACAGTTGTCCTCTCTCTGAGCTGTGTCAACAAAAAAGAATGTAAAGGCTATTTCAGAGCTCATCTAGAAAAAGAAAGAAATTCGGTAGACGTCCTGAATTTCTCTTTATTTAGCTCCTAAATGTCCTTCTTTGTTGTCTGTCCTTGGCGCGCCAATGTCCACGTGTTTGTCTTTTGTTTCATTGTCTAAATGTTCTGTGTTTGTTACATATTCAAAAGAAAAGATCGTTAAAACTGCTTGATCCAACTCTTGGGCTAGTTTAACTTTGTTTTAAAGGCAGTCTTAATTTACACAGCAGAGGCTGATAAGCTACCCTACACCTGTAGCTAAGAGTTGAGCTGAGCTGAAAAAGCCTTTCCAGGAATTGAAGTTGGCATAAGCTGCTTTTAAAAGAGACCAGTGGCTTTTTGGGTTTTATAAGGAAGCTAAGAGTTGGTTTGTCCTAGAAAAATCTCTGTGACAAGGTGCTTTTCTCTTGAAATTACAGCTAGAAAAGGCAAGAAATTTTGTTTGGTCTAAATATATAAGATGCATAGCCACTTCATTGTTGTTTCTGATTGGTTTTAAAAGTATAAAAATGTTCTACATGTCTTGGTTATAGATTATTGGCTTAAATTATTGGGTGTGATTAGAAATTTACAACTTTGGTAACGGAAAGTTGGCGTAAAACTAACTCAAGGTTGGAGTCATTCAGAAACCAGATGTATAAAAAATAAGATTTTAAAACAATATCTCTTCAATGAGATATTAAAAGCTGCTTCACACATTCATGTATAAGAATTGACAACAAAACTTTGTAACATAAAGGTAATCTACTTGGTGTTGATTTTAGAAAAAATAGATTGTTTACATTGCTTCTGGTTTTGCTTCTCAAAATTATAGTTATACTCTAATGTTACAAAAGAAATTTAAAAATTTAGTTAAACTGCCAGTATTCCATTGGCTACAGTTGGCAGTTCTAATCTTGAGTTTGGGATTTTTTGATTCATCAGGATCTGGCCATAGCTTACACAGAACCATAAAGATAAAAGATGTTTTAAATGTGGAAATTTAGATAGTTTTAAAGTGACTGTCCCAAGAACAGAGGCTTGAGCAACAGTCAGGTGACCAAGGTTACACGACAAACTTGTCCTTGGTGCAGGAAGGATAATCTTTGGGCCAGGCCTCAGGATATAGGCCAAGATTAAAAACATTTACATTTAAATTAAGGCTATACACAGAGTGGGCGAGGCAGGAGCTTGGATTTCAGACATTCCTTTTGTCCTGACCTGCCCCTAGAAGGGTGTTTTCTAGAATTTGTTTATTGCCTTGTTTGTTCCTTAGGGAGGTGTCAGCCTCAGACTCAAAAGAAATTCACAACAGCTTATGGGCCAGGAGTTAGAGATAATGAAAAGTTAAACATTTAAATCTCTCAGTGTATATTATTCATTGTATATTTTGTTAGCTGATCTCTCTAAAGGAGTTTTTCTGTATGCCTTTGCCCTAATACAATGAGCTTTAAATTTTAGAGTGCTTATCACTCCAGAAAAGATTAAAAGACAATATCTTTTCAGTATTTGGGAACTTAGTTATATCTTAAACAGATTGTGGCACAGAAAATTCCAATAAGAATGGATAATTGGGGCTAGAGAGATGGTTCCACCGTTAAAGGCTAGACTCACAACTAAAAATATTAGAGTTCAATTCCCAGCAACCACATGGTGGCTCACAACCATTTGTAGTGGGATCTAGTGCCATCTTCTGGCTTGCAGGCGTACATACAAAAAATGGTTTACTTTTAATGATTCTCAAAAGTTGTTAACAGATATTAATCGGCTAAAACCTCATCTTCAGCTTACCATAGAAGAACGTAAACCTCTGTTGGATATTCTCAAGGGAGATGCAAGTCCTAATTCCCCTCGACAGTTAACTGATGAGGGATAGATAGCTTTGTAAAAGTATAGAGTAAGCTGTTAGTTATCAAAAGATAAATTATATAGACTATGATAAATTGTTGGCTGTTTACATTATTGCTACTCATGTGCTCACAACAGCCCTTTGGCAAAAGAAATCATTTATGTGGAGTCATCCTTCATCTATAAGTAAAGAACATCTTATTATGAAATTATTACAGTGTTAATACAGGATTGTAAGATAGAATCCTGAAAGTATTTTGGATGAAATGTTAATTCTTTATTTCAAATAGAATTTAAGTTGATTATTGGAGAATAATGATATTTGGCCTATTACATGGCAAAGTTTTTACACTTCTCAAAAGTTGAACAATTTTGTCGCCAAATGGAGGTGACCCATCTGACGAATCTCCCTTATAACCCTCAATTTTTTAAAAATCTGGACAGTCAGGGCCATTTGGCTGCTGACCGTCACTGTTTAGAGCCTGACAGGCCAAAAGAGATGGTCAAATGGAAGGACATTTTGACCGGACAATGGAAAGGCCCGGATCCTATTTTAATAAGAGCCAGGGGAGCGGTTTGTGTTTTTCCGCAGGAAGAAGACAACCCGTTTTGGCTACCAGAGCGACTGACGCAACGACTCGTGATATTAGGAGATTACACCCAGGCGGACCCTCCAAACTCTGATGACAGCCCTCATGCTGATCCAAGGGATACAGGTTCCTAGTATATCGGGGGAACAATGATGGGCCATATTATCTGCCTTTCCAAAACCCATACCAGTCAGACATAATGTAGCTAATCTGCCCAGGAAATTGTCTCAATATCTTACAGGAAATTGGTCAGAAAACTTCGATGAGACACTCAAAAAATTGAGAGCGGCTGTGGTGGCCATCAACTCGACACGCTTGGATCTGTCCCTGACTGAGGGACTCTCCTCCTGGATCTCTTCAGCTTTCTTCTTTTTTTTTAAAGTGGGTGGGAGTAGGCCTGTTTGATACGCCCTATGTTGCGGATTAGAGTTCATGCTTTGGTTGGTTTGCAAACTCAGAGCTCAACAAAATCGTGACAAGGCTATTATTGCCCAGGCACTAGTGGCCATAGAACTAGGGGCTTCCCCTGCAGTGTGGCTATCACTGCTTCGAAAATAAGTAGTCTCCCCCTCACTAGTGGTGGTGCTAAATGTTGGGCCGTCAGCCGTTGCACCCCAAGGGATTTGCTCATTGCACTGGGTCAGTGAGGAGTCTTGGCCTGGCTGGTCCTTGTCTGTGTAGCTGTGGTACCTGAATTTTGAGGCAAACAGCCCTTGCATCCCTAGGAGATGACTCCATTGCACAGGGATGGGTGTTTGCATCTCTTTCTGTTTCCCTTAGCCCTTGCACCCAGAGGACTTGTTTCCATTGCACCTGGTAGGGTAAGGGAGACCGTCTTAAACTATTAGTCCTTGATCGCTTATTCCCCCATGATGGAATTTGCTTGATCGGGCTTGAGTTTGAGTCATATTGGTACCGTGCCAGACAGGCCAAGGGCAGCTCCATCTTTTCATCTCCAGGCCAGCTGCCATTGGTCCCAACGGCGGGAATAGGTTGATGCCATATGCCAGAGGTACACCATGAGCTGTGAGTTTACCCGATGATGGGCATTACAAGGCTATTATTGCCCAGGCCCTAGTGGCCATAGAACTAGGGGCTTCCCCTGCAGTGTGGCTATCACTGCTTCGAAAATAAGTAGTCTCCCCCTCACTAGTGGTGGTGCTAAATGTTGGGCCGTAGAACGAAGGCCACAACCTGGGGCGCACATTCTGAGAATGCCAGGTGTGGGTGCGCGACCCTCGTAGCCTAAGACAGGGAGCTCACCATTCTTTGGTGCTGGCTATGGAAGAACGTCAGCTAGCCTAAGACACGGGACATTGACCAGTGCCTGTTTAACAAAACAAAAGGAAATAGCCAGTAGACAGATTCCTCAGCCGCTGTACCCCAAAGGCTTTTGGTGAAGACACCCTATGAAGCCTCAAACATATCTGTACACAGTCCCTGCCCACTAAGGTGTTCGTTCCACGGATAGTAGGTCTGGTAAGTCAATGACGGAGCGGACGGATAAGCCTCGGCCACCTAAGACAGGGCAGCCCCGGGTGGGGAGGCTGACCCAGTGACGGGTAAGAGTTTGAGCACCGCCCTCCAAAAAGACTCAGACCCGCCGTGAGACCCCCAAATATGGGAGTTACGAAACCTTCCCAGGGATCTCAACTACCACCCTCTGTAATAAAACAAAAAAGGGGGAGAAGTAGGAAGCCGCGGCTTGTGCTGGCAGAATCCGCCATTGCAAGATGGCGCTGGCATCCGGTGCTCCTCCTAGTAAACAAGTAAACTGCGCATGTGCTATGGTAAAAGCACGCCAAAGTCAAAGCCCATCCCAGGGCGTTTTGGCGGGCAACGAGTAAGCAGCCAATCAGAGGTGAACACACCGTTCTAAGGGTATATAAGCAGTGCCTTTTCCGGGCCTGGGGTCTTCCTCCATTTTCATTTTGGAATAAACGTTTGCTGCGGAAGGATCCTAGTGTGGTGTCCGCGTGCGTTCTTGCTGGCGAGACGATTACACGCGGGCCACAACTGCAGAGGAAAGAGGTTTCTACCCTACAGTGGGGAGGTGAGCCACAACTCTGTCAGGGTGTCTCGGCAGCATGCTTGCTCTGGTTTTGAAGGTGCCTGTGGTCCCCACCCACCCCTTGCCTCTCACTGTCTGCTCTCTCCTACTGGGACCCACTGGCTTCCACGCTGTTCCTGATCACAGGTCTGAGCTCTCATCTCCAACGTCTGCACAGGCCAGGAGGCTCCGCTTGGCTCCACGGAAAACCTTCTCTTGCTTTTCCATCTTTGCTTCTTATCCTCATCACAGTCCCTAATTGCCAGCTCCTGACCTGGCATGGCCACCCCTCCTTAGTCCCCTCTTCCTTCCTAGTCATGGTATTCACACGCACTGACCACTTACTAGGCTCCTTACAGATGGATCACTTGCCAGTTCCTAGATCCTAAGCTTCAGCATGCTTGCCTGTGTCACTCCTGACACACCCCAGGCATCCAGAACCACACTGGGCACAAGAGATGACTAGCACATTGAAGAAACTATACCTTTGAGTGATATTTATGTCTCTTCTAGAAATATGTACATATGCATTTATATATAATATATAAAAACATTATAAAATATAAAAAGGAACATAAAGTGTTTGTTCCTTTCATTCCCAGATATCTGAGCCTCTAAAGTGCTAAAAGCTGATCAAGAAAATACATGCCAGACTGCTGAATGGATACAATGTATTTGCTGAATGGATACAATGTATTTACTTCATTGTCTTCTCTGTTTTCTCTGGGGAAAACCCAGAAAGCATGCCAACATAGAGTTTTAGACTGTGGTGCAAGACTGAATACTCACCTAAATATATTACTATTGTCAAATCCTCTGCATATCCGTTACCTTGGTGCTATGCATGATCCCAGGAAGGCTAACCTTAGTGACACCCCATCAGAGAGGACAGTGCACTTTTACCTATTAATCCCTTGCTCTGAGCTACTTTTCTGACAAAACAAAAAGCCCAATTCTTTACCAAGTATGCAATTCAGATTTGTGAGTTACAAACTCAACATTGATAAGCTTGAATTTCACTCCATGCTAGGTGACATCAGGAAACCCCATGACCCTCTCACTATGAAGGCTCACAGTGCGGATGCTATTAAGTGACCACGCTGCCCACCGTCCCCAGGTGTGGGTGCGCCCGGCACCTGCCCACAGTCCCCAGGTGTGGGTGCGCCCGGCACCTGCGGCTCACCTGGCTGTGTCAGTTCTGCCACTGGCTTCGCCTTCACTCGGATCCCTCAAAAGGAAAGAGAAGAGTGAGATTTAGCAATTTTAAAAGCAAAAAGAAGATCAAGAAAACCCATAACTAAAATGACACTGACGTCAGCTTGCCCATTATTGCTGAGTCTGAATCCTTCTCCCCGCTTTCACCGTAATGCCAGCTACTGCTATGGCTTGAGTAGCTATCTACTAGACACTGCCAGCAGGAGCTATCAAGGGAAAAGTTAGTTGTTTTAAACACAACCTTCCAATTCCAAGCTACAACTCTCATTTAATATTTATCTTTTGGCTTAGTTTAGTATAATCCAAGGTTAAACAGGTCTAATGACTATCAAATCAGTATTAAACTTCACATTATTACATGCACTTCTACAGGTTGTTGCTCAGTTGAGCAAACATGTTAATCTTGCAGCTAAACACAACGCATGTGTTGTGCAGCTAAGAGCAAACACGTTAATCTTGCAGCTAAACACAATGCATGTGTTGTGCAGCTAACGCTGTGCTTAGAAGATAGGAGGCTGAGAAGGCAGATCAGTGGGCAGAGTTCTTTTGTACAAGCATGATGTCCTGACTCATAAAGCAGTGCACATCTTCTGGAGACATCCTGGGGGTCTAGGGGCCAGTTAGGCTAGCCCAAGCATGAGCAATGGGCTCAAGAAATAGGTTAGAGAGTGACAGAGGAATGAGGAATGAACACACACACACACACACACAGTGCTGGCAGAAGAGAAGAAGAGAGGGAGATCGAGAGAGACTGAGATTAAGAAAGTTGAGCCCAGGGCTGAAGAGGTGGCTCAGTGAAGAGCACTGGCTGTTCTTCCAGAGGACATGGGTTCAAGTCCCAGCAACCAAATGGTGGCTCACAACTGTCCCTAATTGTAGTCCCATAGGATTGGCTGCTGTCTTCTGTTGAACATACATGTAGACAAAACAGCCATACACATAAACAAATCTTAAGAAAGGAAGGAAAAAGAAAGAAGCCAACATGGATTTCTAAAAGTAAATACTAATTCTTTAATACACAATGAATTATTTTAGAAGTACCAAGAGTTCATGCACAGTACGTCATCAGCCTAAGGAAGTAGGTGAGGCTAAAAATACAGACTGAATTATAAACAGAACTATAATCTTACCTAGATATCCATCTGTGAAATAAAATCAGAAAAATTGCTAATTGTCTTTGCACTGAAGGGGATTATGATTTTAAAGTCTTTCAAAAATTCTAACTACCCTGATGTTTAAAGATAAATAAACTGAGTCAAGTTATAGCCTGATATTCAAACATTAGCAGGCAGCTTATGAGAGAATAAAAAATACCTTGGGAAGCAAGGAAAATCACCATTTCAAATGCTTAAGTTTTTTTTTAAAATGTTTTAGCCTTTTTCACATTTAAATCTTTATGTAAAATGCACACAGCAGGATCAACATCAGCACACCCTCCTCCCGTCTAGTGCATTAGCACAGAGCTGCTATACATCAAACTCGGTCTGGGCACTAAACACTACAGACATCCTAAGCCTGCAGGGCTCGAACTACAGGCCTCTTCCATAGATGTATTGTGAAAAACAAACAAACAAACAAACAAACAAGCTATTTTTCAGAAGCAAAAAGAATAATAAAGTATATTTGCAATCTCAAATATAATTGCCATTTTCACTAGCTGGGTTATTAAATACTCAGTGCCATCTGTAAATTATTTTATTCTAGCAAACTGAAGTAAACCCGTCTCTGAGCTGGTTCGCCATGCAGTGCCATCTCAGCTGTGTGAGATGCTGTGGTACACTGCATAGAAGGGCAGTGCTTGGCCTTAACAACAAGCAGTGACCCCGCTGACCCTGCAGCAGAGAGGAGACACTTGCATTCAGAAGGACTGTGCTGTCGTATGTGCTGACACAGAGGACACTGCTGCTGGGCCTGAGCTCCGCACATCTGCAGTGGGAGCTCCCTACACCTTACTACCCTTACTATAACAAATAGCAATCTGCTCGCATGGTGGCCCTACTACTGAGAGGGTAGGTCCAGCCTACTGAGGAGAGGGCAGTAGTGTCACACAACCTAACAAGTTAGCTCTAAGTGGGAGGCAGACAGACACAGAAGCACAGCTGGCTGCAACAGCTCATGCAGCTTAGCATGGCTCTGTGATACAAAAGCAAAAACCATATATACAGCAGTTTGTAGGCAACTGAACACACAGGCTATCCCCTTCCACTTACGAAGACAGCGAGCCTAGTGTAGAAGCAGTGGCAATTATTGGCAGGCATTTGAGGGACAAGATTCCAAGAAGAATGGATATCAAGACAAACTCCTGTGGGCGTGCAGAGGTGCCTTTGAGGTGGGAGGAATCAGATAGGAGGAACAGGCATGTGACATGTGCCTTATATGCCCCTACAATTAAGAGCCCTTTTTCTTCCTCTTTCCAACCCCCCTTCTCTTTCTAGTGTCTAGGGATCAAACTGAAAGCCCTGTGCATTGCGGGCAAGCTACACAGTCAGGCCTACTGCATGGCTTTATATCACGGAGTGACTTACAGACTTAGACTGCCGAAAGTGCGCGTGAGAATGAAGGAGACCTGGAAGGAGGTGAGACCTGACAGTGGTTTCCACTGTGAGGCAGGGCAGCAAAGGCAGCCACCCTGACTGTCCTGAGAAAGCCATTTGCAAAGGTGGGAAGGAAGCAAAGACAATGCTAAGGTGCCTGGGAGGACAGCACTACCTAACACTTCTAGAGAGAGAAGAACGAGGGAGACAGATCAGAAGCTGAAACTGACTGATTGAGGATGTAGAGAGGCAGAGCTTGGGGCAACTCGATCCATGGGGAAGAAGCCCTGGGAGATCTGGGTTCAAGCCTGAGGCTGTTAAAAGTGAGATGGCATCTACTGCCACATCTCCTGCAGATCACCAAGAGAAGACAGAAAACTGACAGAGACCATCCAAAGTCTGTCCTGTATACTCTGATATTTAGAGGTCAATAGGGAAAGGCAAGGAAATCTGGAAATTACCAGCCAAGGAGCCTGGGAGGGAGCAGTTGGTTTGTGAGGCAGGAAAACCAGCCAAGGGAGGGAAGTAGTTCAACCTTGAAAGAAACCACACTCCTCACTGCTCTATCTACCATGCCAGTGACCGGCAGTCACACTAGCACCTTGCAATGGCTGCCAATACCATCCTCTGCTGATTCCCTGCTGACTGTTGGCTTCTGTTTTTCGCTTACAAGGTGCCACTCTGCACACCTGTCCAGTCAGCATCAGGCCACTGATGGTCTGCTAAGATACTTGCATTTGAGGACTTAAGGGTTGAAACTCAGCTATGTGGTCCTACACGCGGAAAAGGGGGAGGCTGCTGCTCTTCTCTACCTAACCAAGTTTTCTGTGTGCTTGTGGCGAGTTGCTATGTTTGGAATAACAATCTGCCTTCTTCTGTGTTCTGGGATTAAAGATGTGAGCCACCATGGCCAGCTTCTCCAGTCACTCTGGAAAACCAGGACCACCAGAGATACTGCAAGTAAACACCAGTGTTGAATCAATCAAAATCTCTTCGTTCCCTGACTTGAGGCTTAGCTCATATGAATGTATGATACGGACCCTTAGAAACTATCATGCCTTGCGGACGACTCATCCTAACGCTTCCTTGTTAGCTGCATTCTGCTTTAGCCCACAGCTTATTGCTCACAGATTGTTTCTTCCATGACTTTAAGACTCAGAGGGCCCAGATCCCACCTTCTTTGTCTTTACAGCACTCTACATAGTGGAGTGTTTATGTGGCAAGGCTCAAGTCACATGGGCTGGTATTAATGGGTCAAATTTACATCAGTCTGCACTTGCTCGGCATTCATACAACCTATGTGCAGTCCACAAGCAAGACTAATTTGTATGAGGTACAGCTATACTATTTCACTAGATTATTAGTCTGTTAAACACACATATATCTTGTGTCTATTTTGATGTTCAGCTTTTTAAATTTTTCTTGCTTCTTTTTTTTGGGGGTGGGGGTTTCGAGACAGGGTTTCTCTGTGTAGCCCTGGCTATCCTGGAACTCACTCTGTAGACCAGGCTAGCCTTGAACTCAGAAATCCGCCTGCCTCTGCCTCCCAAGTGCTGGGATTAAAGGCGTGCGCCACCACCGCCCGGCACTTCTTATTTTTATGTGCACTGGTATTTCCCCTGTATGTATGTCTGTGTGATTGTGTCTGATTCTCTGGAACTGGAGTTATAGAAAGTTGTGAGCTGTCGTGTGGGTTCTGGGAATAGAATTTGGGTCCTCTGGAAGAGCAGCCAGTGCTCACAACTGCTGAGCTGTCTCTCTAGCCTCTGGTGTCCAGTTTTTAAGTAATCATGTGACCTTAAACTTACTATACAAAGTCAAAAAAGTTAAATGATAAGCATGATTTGAAAGGATTTTAAACATACATACATACATAGTAATACATATATAATGTATATAATGTTATACATATACACATAAGTATATATATAATATATACACATATATACTATATTAGCCTAGTGGGTAATGTGCTTGCCACCAAGCCTGATGCTCTGAGCTGAATCCCTGAAATCTCATGGTGACAGAGCGATGACTCTTACGAGGATTCTTTGATCCCACTTTCCACACGCTAGGGCATGTGCTTCTCCTCCCCACCTCAGTAAATAAGCTGATTATTGCCTGCCACTGGCGAGGGAGGCAGAGCAGTGAGGAGGGCTAGCTCTTGTATCTTTCAAGCTTAGATGTGTATTTAATTCCTTCTCATAAATAAAACACTTTAAATCTTAGCTAATTTTTACATCTTTTCTTTTTTTTATCCTTCTTTTTCCTCTTTTATTGTTGGAGACAGAGTCTCTCTCCATAGCCTTGACTGTCCTGAGACTCGCTCGCTATGTAGACCTGGCTGTCCTGGAGCTCAGAGATCTGCCTGCTTCCTCATGTTGGGATCAAAGGTGTGTGCCACCACACCTGGCAAAATGTTTTTTATGTGAACTTTTGGCTCCGTTCTACAAAAGGTTTAGATTTTCTTTTGTGACGGGGCCCTCTGCATCTCAGGCTGGGCACAGATCCAGTGACCTTGATCTTCTGGTCTTCGTGCCACCACTTCCTCAGTGATGGCTTCCACAGGCTGGCACTAGACCTTGGGATTCGTGCATGCCCAGCAATACCTGACCAACCGAGATACATCAGCCCGTAAGTTCTTATTTTTAATTTCTCTTTCTTAAGGAAAAAGATTATTTCTTCCTGGTGTTTTATTCCCAATTCCTGTAAAAATGAGTGAGATGCCATAAAGCCATTCTAGAAAAATCACAGTACAGGTGACAGCAAAGAACCAAGCTTCCTCTTCAGAGAAAGCAAGCACAGCCTGAGGGTACTGACCTGCGGACGAACTTGGAGGTGATTTTGCTGATTATCCCCGTGGACGTTCCCCTCCTGGCATGTGCAAATGCACCCGTTTCATGGGATGGGGAGGCAGGTGGGCCATTATAAGCTGCACTGCGTCGCTCTCGGAGCTGCTCCCCGTGGAAAGTGCTTCTGCTGGAGCTCCCTCGGGGGAAGCGGGTCCTGTCAGGGGTGCTGGCACTGATGCTGTGAGCAGACGGGGAGGCAGCAGGCGCTCTCTGAGCTGCACTGCTGGGAGAAATTAAGACGTATTATTCAGAATAATGACAGGGGCAGCTTTCACTCAGCCGAAGACTGGGGAGGGGAAAGGCGTGGTTATTTCTGTTGGCCCAGTGATTTTTATTCACATTAGAAATGAGGTGCATGGGAGAATTAATTTACTATATCATTATACAAAGAGGAGATGCCAATTTAAAACTGTATTTTTACTGTATCTTATAACATTTCTGACATGAAGACAAAGCTGTCAGAATCTAGAATGCCAACCTGAGTGCAGCACATGGATTTTTAATTACATAATCTGCATACCTGAAATCTCAAATGGTTCAAAATCCAAAAATTGTTTAAGCACTGATATGACACTGCACATGAAAAATTCCATGTGTGACCTTATGAGATGTCCACTGAAAACACACTACGAAATGATCTGTGGCTGTGCATGTCAGGCATGCTAGACATCTAAGTGAGTTTCATGACGAAATTCAAATTCTAACCCATTTATCTCATTATGCATGCCAATATTGTGGAATTGGAAAATGTCAAAAATCCAAAAGGCTCCTGGGCCTAGGAATTCCAGATGAAGGGCATTCAACTTGAATGCTTTTACAGAATGAATTTTATTGTTCGTCAAAAAGCCTTTTCATACATCACCCCATGTTTCTTCGTGAGACCCCAGGGGAAACAGCACTGCACGGAGCTATCAGTGTGACTGATAGAATCTAATCACTGAAGCAATGACACATTTCAGAAGTCCTACATGCGGTGAACCTTACAAATGTGAACTGAACATAAGCCTGAGCGGCTATCAGTGCGCCTGCCCCACTGACACCACGCCTGCTAAGACCCGCGGCTGTGGTGCCAATAGAATTTGGTTCTGGTCCCATTTTTTGAGTGGGGTTGGGAGTTCAAGACAGAGTTCCTCTGTGTAATAGCTTTGGCTGCCCTGGAACTTGCCTCATAGACTAGGCTGGCCTTGAACTTACAAAGCTCCACTAGCCTCTGCCTCCCCAGCACTGGGATGTGAGCCATCACAGCTGGCTTTTTGTGCGTCTCATTTTACTTACTTTTTATTTTAAAAGGTTAATTTGTTTGTGTGTGCCATGGAGTATGTGTGGAGGTGAGAAGACCTCTCCTGGGAGCTGCTTCTTTTCTTTCACTATCTGGGTTCCAGGGGTAGGCCAAAGGTTATCAGTCTTGGCGGTAAGCACCTTTACCACCTGTGTCCCATCTTGCCAGCCATTAAAATTACTTAATTACAGCCATTAAATTAAGTGATAAACTAGGCAACAGTGTTTAATGGGTGGATTAAAACCGCAATCTGTTAAGAATATTCTTCTGGAAAATGATTTCAAGTCGTTTTAGACGACTGCTAACGCACGCCACATCTCAGAGAGCTCCTGAGGAGACTGCAGAGAAAGCCATGTAAGCAGGACTGACCCAGGACGATACGCTTCAGAGCCATCTTTAATGGTTGGCAGTGTAACTTTAATAGGGTGGCCAGAGGTTGACATAGACTTCTGGTGGCGGGGACGTGCTGAGGGGCCAGCAGAGGCCACGGTGGAGCCTGCCGAGGACATGCTGCTGGCAGACATCTCTGTAAGGCTGACATAAAAGAAATATAGTTATTGAAACCTGAGAAAAAGATTACCTAAATCTCAATCAATTGACATTTTTACGATTGAAACACTTGAAAGAAACAAACACACTCTTAGTGATTAATCAAACAACTCTCCATTTAAGGTGTTTCCATTTGAAGAGCTCCCAGATTCTTGTTCTATGCTTGTGAATCTATGAAGGAAGGGCATATCTGTGGATGCGTGTCAGCTAAAAACCAGATGATTACTGTTGCAGTCTTTTTTCACTTATTCTAAGGTCTGTTTTGTATGACGTGTTGCTGTAAATCTTCCTACATTATTTAAGCATTAAGAAGTCACAGTCATATGAACAACGCCACTTCTACAGACAGTACCTCCTTCACTTACATTGTAGTGTCAGCTCATGCCATGAGTATCAGGCTAGCCAATTCCCAACTGTCAAGCCTACAGGATGTCACAGCAGGAAGCTACAGCCATCCTTGTGTGCCAACCGCTGAAGGAAACCAATGTGAGAACTGACTGCTGTTGGATGGTCAGAGCTGATGTTCTACCTCATCACAACACAGGCCTCATCCTCTGACGAGTCAGGTTTTCCAACTACACTAAAACTCAGTAAGAAGTCTGTGGTTCTACCTTCAGGTGAGATGACCACACTTCTTTAGAGGAAGGAAAGGAAGCGCTCATTACTTGGATATCATGTGAGTTGCTGAAGGCTAAGGGGCAGAGGAGCGACAGAGGCAGGGTACATACAGAGAGAAGACTCAGTCTGGAGGATCAGGTTGGGATTGTACACGCTGCATTGGTACCGAGTGATATTCGCATCCACATTTTATTCAGACACTTGGCAGTTGAGAGAAGTTACTTACTACTTCCCCAAATCCACTGGCATCCTTCCACTCAGGTACCAAGGCTAACAGCCCAGTGAGAGTGAGCGGCTACTGTGGTCTCACTGCTCAGATCTCCTCCCCTATGACCCACACAGCTACAGACATTTCAGCAAAGCTAATCTGCACCAATGGCAGAGCCACTGCTGCTGGGCCCCGTGACTCTCACCTGCTGTCTCTTCCATTCTGCAAGGCCGCATACCGGTCCGTGCCCCTCTCACACACATACGTATTCCTCCTCGCCATGCTACCACCAGAATATACGTTGTTCTAGAAGAAGAAAAATCAATTTAAAAATTGTAACTATATTAGTGTGAAATCAAAGAAATGTGTTTAAAATTGTTAATTATTAGAAAAACTTTATAGCATAATTTTAGTTGATTAGAATCTCACATAAGCAAGATCCAGTTTTTCTTCTTTCTCATATTCAGATGTTAGGAATAAAAAGTAAAGCAAAATCAAAACTAAACAACAACATGAGCCCAAGTCACACCCACGACTGCTTTAGTTTATAATCCCAGCCAGCGCTGGGAAGAGACAGGAAAGCTGCTTCCATTTACTCTGCCCGGGGAGTGGCAGGTTGAGTAAGGTCAGAGCAGAGAGTAGTCTGCCCTCAATCACAGCATGAACGGGCAGAGCGGAGTGTTCCTTCCAAAAGCCTCTGCAGCTCATGAACATCATAAGGACTAAAGCATGCCTGACTCAGGGTTGACAGATGGCTGTGCACTGCAGTCTAAGGATACACCTATAATCCCACATTTGAGTTAGGAGACAGGCTCCATGTCTCCTAAGATAAAGAACAGTAAAGAAGGGTAGCTAGGATGGGCTATTGTCCTTACTACCCAGAAGACTCCTGACCTGTATACCATCATGCCTGCCAAACCTTGACCATGTTACCAGGATAAAAATGGACAGGCATGATTTTCTGCTTTCTGTGTTTTTGTTTTGTTGTTTGTGGTGCTGGGAATCGAACCTGGGGTCTTGCAGATGCTAAGCAAGCACTTTACTGTAGAGTTGCATCCAAAGCCCTGGAGAGGTGACTTTTAAAAGGGATTAAAAAAACTCTTCTGTTTCATTCTTCAGTGAAAAATATCTTCTTATCCAATCTAGCTTTTACTCGTCTTTAAAATACAGTCACTCTAGCATTTGTTCAGTATGAGTAGTTAATAGCGATTTCCCCAGAGTCAGATGCAGAACGGGGAGATCGTAAGCAAAGCTGTGCAAGTGCAGCTTTATAAACCTTTCAGAATGCTGAAGAGACGTCTCAGCCAGCCTCTGGCAAAGGACCTGGGTCTGACTTTCAGCATCCATGTCAGGGGCCCACAATTTCTTGTAATTCTAGCTCCTGGGAGTCCAACGACCTCTTCTGACCTCTGAGGGCACCCACATGCATGTAGCAAAGACACAAATAAAAGTAATACATCTTTTTTAAAAAAAAAGAAGGGATGACAGAATTGTTGGAGGATGCATATCACTCCCAAAGAAAGGCTGAATAGATCATGCCACACGTGTCATTGATACGTAGAAAAGCCATGCAGTTACTACACAGATATCCCCATGCTCGTCTAGAAGGCTGCCACAGCACCTAAGAACAAAATAGATACAGTATTGACCTGTCATAGAAGGGATGAGACAGCTATGTTATGCTCAGTTTGGTTTTCTCTAGCAAAAATAGTCCCACAGAAGGATCTACCCAAGTTATTTTACAAGTTCAGAACGGAAGTAATAGACAGCAAAGAGGAAACTATAAATTTTGGCAGAATCTTCCAGCTTATGGTTTTTAAAAATGTTAAGTAACGTAGTATAGTTAATTTGAATGCAAGCTTTTTAAAAACAAATAAATACAGTCTGAGCACTCATTATTCACCTCAGCACTAAGGATTCTGAGGAAGTCTCTGTCAATATACAGGGACTGCAGGCCTGAGGAGACAGTGCAGCACCTGGCTAAGAACTGAGTGGGCACAGCTGTAAGCAGACTGGTGAGATGTGGACAGCCTCCACAGGAGGTTCCTCTGGGGACACAGGACTCGCACAATTCACAACAACAGAATTAGGACACAGTAGCATATAAGGACAGACAGGAGAGGACAAAGCTGAGTTGGCCATGCCAAGAAGGTCCAATCAGAGGGGACTGGCAGGCCACTGTGGAGAGTGGTGGAAAACACAGGAACAGTTTGTTTTTACTGCTATGCAGGTGCTGACCTTCTAAATAGTCCTCTAGCTCACAAAGAAATAAATGCTGGAAAAAAAAGGTATTTTTATCATTTCCAAGTAGATCAGGTAGAGGACAATAACAATTACACCACCACTATTTATTTTTATTTTATGTGTATGAGTGTTTTGCCTGCATGCATGTAAGTGTATCACACGGAGGCAGAGGTGGCTGTTAGATCCCCTGAGCTGGAGTTATGGATGGCTATGAGCCACCATATGGGTCCTAGGAACCAAACCTAGTCCTCTGTAAGAGGAAGTGCTCTTGACCGCTGCCATCCCTCCAGACTGAATACACTTCCCATGTTTAAAGTGGCATGCACACCTACTTTTTAGACTAGGAAGTGCTAAGCTGATTATATATTCACAAAAAGTATTGTCTCAATTACTATACATAATACTGGCACCAAAATTCTACCCCATTTGTGAGGAAGGCGTGTTGGTTTTGCTTTGGTACATCACTGCAGATTTTGAGTATCCCCCTCCCCCAATATACTAGAGAAAGGGTTCCTCTTCCTTCTGTTATTTAAGTTATGATTCTATTTCATCCTTGTACAGCTCTCCTTCCTTACGTTCCTGAGCTAACGTCTGCTCACCTATGTGGATTTCTTCACCTTATCCCCATCATTTGCCCATAAGACAGGTGGTTAGGTTTTAATTTCTGCCCCATTTTTACTCCCTGGACACTGCTGAGAATTTTCAGTGTATGTGTGTGGGGCTGTGCTTGTGTGTGTGTGTGTGTGTGCACGTGTGTATGTGTGTGTACAAGTATATACATATGTGGAGGTCAGAGGACAACTTTCTTCTCACTCTGGGGTCCTGGATGACACTCAAGTTTGCCAGGCACGGTGGCAAGCATCCTTATCCACTGAGCCATCTTACTGGGCCTTGCTAAGTTATTTGATTATTTTAGCTTATGTATTTTACAGCAACATGTTATGTTCTCTTCCTGTGAGAATATCCTAAGTAGTACAGTGTTTTAAATAGTCATTGTGCAGCCAAACATCTGACACATTTTATGCCTAAGAATATAGTTCTCATGTTTAGATATAAACTTTTAGGCCTAAAGTATTTTTCTCCTCCAACAGTTTCAAAATTCGACTGCATCTTCTAGTGTGTCTTCTATTGATAGAATGTCAGAGGGCAGACTGACTCTGCTCCGTTATGGCCATCAGCTCTCCCACTGACATAGCTAACAATTCTTCACCTTGCTGTCTGTGTCTACAAACCCACTTCAATGCACATTTTTTTTTTTCTGGTTTCGTTCGTCATTCTGGGTCTTCTCTTTGTACTGTTATCATTCCCTCAAATATCAACTGACCTCCTGTACCTCAAACTCCTACTGTCTCAGATGTCACCCGCCCAGTCCTCACCTCCAGAGTCACCTGCCCTGTCCTCACTCACCTCCAGATGTTACTCTGTCCTCACTCACCTCCAAATGTTACCCACCCTGTCCTCACTCACCTCAAGATGTCACCCATGCTGTCCTCACTCACCTCCAGAGTCACTTGCCCTGTCCTCATTCACCTCCAGATGTCACCCTGTCCTCACTCACCTCAAGATGTCACCCATGCTGTCCTCACTCACCTCCAGAGTCACTTGCCCTGTCCTCACTCACCTCTAGATGTCACCCTGTCCTTACTCACCTCCAGATGCCACCACACTGTCCTCACTCACCTCCAGATGCCACCACACTGTCCTCACTC